CCCCACACCTGTCTTAGGTCTGAGTTCCTCAGCAGCAGCACTGCTGACTTGGGGCCAGTCACTCTGTGTGGGAGCCATACTGGACAGCAGGGCTGATGAGCAGCTTCCCTGGCCCCACCCACTTGCTGGTAGGCACACGCAGTTGTGGGAATCACCCAGCGTCTCCCAGGGGCAGAAGGACCCCAGGTGAAGACCACCTGCTCTAGGTTTTAGCCTCCAGGCCGGCAGAAAGTCTTTCCCATGGGCCATTTCATGGCTAGCCCGGCTCCCGAAACTGCAGTGTGGCAGATCACCTGCCCAGATGTTCTCCTGGCCTTTATCCCTTCTGGTACCCACTTCACAAAGACCCAGAGCCAGAGCCCCGTTAAGCCACCCTCATCTTGGACCACCAAACCCCTACCCCTCAGGAACTGCGAGGATAGTGAATGTTGTTTATTGTTTTAAGACACACATGGGGGTAATTTTTTATTTCAGCCACAGATAACTAATGTGTAGCATACATGTGTACTGTCAGGAAAATAGGCAAGTGAGTTGTGATATATTAAAAAGTAATCGAGCTTTAAGAATGCCAAGTCCAGGACAAAAGTAGAAACAGAAGTCTGTATACCATATGTCTTAATTTTAAAATTATTCATCAGACAGGCAAAATAATAAAATATTTTGTCCTACCTTGATATACATACCTTTCCCCCAACAAAAATAGTTTAAAAGGGTGATACTGCCTTTTTTTTTAAAAAAGATTTATTTATTTATTCATACAGAACTGGGGTACAGGCCAGAGGCTCAGGGGCGGTGAGAGGCTTCACCAGAGACAAAGTGGGGAGCAGAACAGGCAGATCGATAAAGTACACTGCTGAGGGAAGCAGCGGGCGGGCCAGGAGAGGTCTGGCTCGCCATGTGGTCTCCTCCGGGGCAGGCGGCAGGTGGGAATCGAACTCATGCGGAAGTGGCTTCAGATTCTTAGTGCTGTGCTTTAACCTGCTGCGCCACCAGGGAGGGCCGATACTGCCTTTTACAGTTGGCAAAACATTAAAGATGACTGAACTTTTATTTGGTTAAACTGCCTGTTCTGCTCCCTACTCTGTCTCTGGTGAGTCCTCTCACCATCACTGGCCTGTCCCCCAACTCTTTTATGCATAAATAAATAAATCTTTAAAAAAAGATTGATACTGCTTATTTTAATACTTTCCAAATATTGAGTAACTGTCCCAGGCAAGAAGGAAAGGCAGACAGTATCAGTCAGTGTCCAGACAGAATGCGGACCCACGGAGGGCGTTTCAGACACAGGGCACCCAGACACTTGGATGCTAAGATGCAGAGGAACAAAAGACTGGCAGCAGCATGAGCACCCCACCGCCCTCCAGCTGGAAGAGCCAGGGGAAGGCGGTGTCACCGGAGAGCAGACCCTGTGTGCAACTGTAGGCAACTCCCCCAAGCCGGTGCCCACTGCACCCGCCTGCAGGAGGGCGCCCCCACCCACACAGCCGCCCAGCCTGCCCCTCCCCACGCCCTCAGCAGCAGGTGGGCACCCACAGCCAGGGCTTGCGCATGTGCAGAGGCCCAGAGAAGAAGTGGTGCCCACTCGTGTTACTGTCCTGTCTGGTGCTCTCAGCAGCAAATTGAACTCTCATGCCGGCTAACTCTGTCCACTTTGCGTTAACTTTTCTCTTTTAAGAAAAGAGACATTAAGTTAGCATACAGTGCTGTAACCCGTTGTCACCTCGATAAAAAATATTAACATCACCCACTCAGCTATTCTGGTGACCATGGTTCCCACCTCTGGGATCGCGGGCCCCCGAAGGCGGCGGACGCCTCGCGGTCAGCCTGTGACCTTGCAGCACGCTTCCTGCAGACCTTGAACCTACTTAGCTCTAGATCAGTCCTGAGGCTTCTGTGCCTCAAACGTGGAACTAGATATCCCCCAAGGGATGTCGGTGCCCTCTAGAGAACAATTCTGGGTAAAGGTTCACAAGAGAAGGGGGTGACGGAAAGCACCCCATTCCCACCCTCCGCCACGCAGGGCCCAAATGAGTCCCTGTAGGACCTGCAGCCACGGCAAAGCTTTGATTTAACAAGTATCGTTGAAATTGGCTTTTCTTAAATTGGAGACTTTATTCACTACCAAAACTTTGTTCTTTTTGACTTTTTCTTTCCTCAAAGCAACTGAGAGCTGTGTGGTGTGTCCCGGGAGATGGTACCAGCGGGACCTCTCCAAAAGCTATAATTCTCCTTTGGTCATTAATTTATTTACTTATTTAAATTGTATAGATTAATTTATTTATCTTGGCGAGTTACACCAGGATCTCCCCATGGGGTGACCACCACAGTGCACCTGCCACAACCCTCAGGTCTCCCGGCCTGTTCTTTGCTCTGACCCCTGTGGCCTCAGTCCTGCAGTTATCAAGTGTTTGTTGTTTAAGATTTGTTAATTTATCTATTTACATTGCTGTTCACTTTCAAACAAAAAACAATGTTTACCCCCCCCCCCCACCAGGTCCCGGAGCATATCCTCTCCACAGCCCCCCACCCCCTCCCTCCCCACCCCGCAGGATAGCTCTGGTTTAGAGTTGTCTGTTTTTGTGGAGACCCGGGCTTACTTGGTTCTCGTATATTCCTCCTAAGGTGAAACCAGCTGATACTTTTTTTTCCCCTTCTGGCTTGTTTCAGCGAGCAGCTCATTTGGTTATTCCGGGCATCAGTCATCCTCCATAGCCTAGGGCTCGTCTTCCTGCCTTCCCCAGCCTGCTGTGGCACAAGGCGCCTGCGTGCGCCCGGCCTACTCTGACGCAGTGACCTAGAAGACGGGGAGCTCTAGGGAGTTCTCCAGGGTGGGGTCCCCGGCAGGGGGCACCTTGGCAACTTTGCAGGTAGCAGTGTGGGTGGGTGCCACCTTGGAACCCACCCTCTGAACTCGACAGAAATTATTTTTGAAAGCAAAGTACATTATAATTTAAAGTGTACTGAACTAGACTGAAATTGAAAGCCATCTCAAGTTAATCTTTTTATCTTAAGAAAGTTAGTTGAGATGTGGTAACAGATGTTAACTAGACTTACTGTGATGGTTTTGCAGTATATACCAATATTGAATCTTGATGCTGTACGCTGAAACTAATGGGGTGCTCAGTGCCAGTTATATGTGAAGCACTTAACTGTATATTGCTGTCTTATAAGCATAAACTTGTAATTTGCATGCTCAGGATCCGCCTAGTTGTCGTTGTGAAGACTCGGTGCGCTCCACCTTCCACAGAGCTGGGCACTTGGGCCTCCAGACTTAAGAGTCTTGGGAATTGTTTGATAGTCACACTGTTCCAGCTGCTACTTGAAGTGACAGGTGGCGTGGGAGACGGTCAGACCCCAAAGGGGAGGAAGACATGGCCGCAGCGCTCCTGGGACATGAGGTCTCGGAAGATCCTGCTGTTCCTCACGTCCCTGCAAGGAAGGACTTGGAGAGCTAATGGGACAGTGATCTGACGCATCGTGGGAGCCGTCTCTGCAGCCGGGTGGTCAAACTCACACAGTTTTAGAGCCTTCAGATGCCATCATCCTTTGCTTTGATGTCACAGAACAAGAGAAGGGGCTGTCCCTGGGATCTGGACAGTGTCGCTCACAGAGCAGATGAGGATGGAGCTGTCGTGTGCTTCTCAATGTGTTTGCTACTAAAGCAACAATAACCATAGGCCTTTATTCAGGAATGGAATCTGTGAATGAGGGGGACGACAACTCAGCTATGCTAAACTCCACACACCTCACCTCAACCTGTAAGGGGCTTGGGGGAACCTTCTGATATGATGTGTCGATATGGGCCAACCCTGTGAGGAGACCCTCCATGGACAATGGGCTTTTAAATTAAGGGCTGAGACTTAGCTGAGTGCAGGACCCTGGGCCTGGAGAGACCTGTGGACCAGGCACTGGACACCTGTCACCTGTCCGAGAGTGTCCCTGTCTGGATGGTGCAGACGGCACTCTGTGCACTTCCATGCGGTCGAACAAAACCTAATTTTTTTTGTGAAGACCTTTTAGTTTACTGTCACCTCACCTTATTTTAATAACCACACAGCTCCCTTTGCTCTTTGACTACAAAGTACTGTTGCAGTTTAGCTTTTTCTGAAGAATCTTGAGGTCAAAGAAGAGACTGCTGCTCAAGTAGATGGCCAGAGACATCGTCGCGTGCATTCCAGGCCTGACTCTGCACCTCCGTTTCGTGGTCTGTAAAGAGGGACAAGGATGGCCCTCCCCCAGGGTGGCTGTAAGCGCATCCAGCTGGGGACAGGCTGACATCTGTGCCTGCCCAGGCTGGTCTCCACTGATGTCAGCAGCTACTGAACGTGTACACAGTGAACAGTGGCGCGACTCAAGCATGTCCAGCTTGGTGATGGTGTGAGAGCGCTGTGAGCCGGTACAACCATACTTCCAATTCTGAATTGTTACCTTTTCCTGGGCCTGTGCATCCCAGCTATGTGATCATGAGGCAAATAACCAGTTATTCTTGAGCCTCCACAGAAAAGTTGTTGCCCTTGCGGTGAAAGCACCCCCGTCACCCAGCAGTTCCCCGTCACCCAGCAGTTAGCTTTAGTGCGACCCACGACGCTTCAAGCATTCTTCAGAACCCAGTGTGCTGTCAACTGTAGATGTTTATGAGGCAACCTGTAACCGCCACTCTGTTTCATTTTCAGAACAGTGAGATTGCACGGGCTGTTCAGCACTCTCTTATATTGCTAAGAGCCCTTGTATTAGATGCTTTTGCCCAGCTGAGGGCTAGTGTAAGCCCTTAACGTGGGTGAGCTGGAGCTATGTCGGGAGGCGAGGTGTCTGAAGTGCATTTCAGTTTAGCAGATTTTCAACTTCCCGCGGGTTTATCAGGACTTAACGCCATTGCAAGTCCGGAAGAGCCGTATATTCATGCAGGCATCCCGAGCGGCTCTTCTGGTGTTTGCCAGACTCCGCCTGGGCTGCACTCAGCATGGCCTTCTAACGCAGCCTGGCTTTGTGTCCGTTTGCAGCCCCAGCGCGCAGCCTCCCCTGGCTTTTCCGCTCCCTGCGGCCGGAGCCAGTTTTCCCACGCAGCCTGCGATCCTGACGTTTCCCCCCGCGGCCCAGTCCCCCAGGCCTCTTGCTTCAGCGGGGCACAGTGGATACCAGCCCTACTCTGGCCAGGACATCAGTTACAGCAGCCAGGGGCTGGCCCCCGTGTCCAGCGTGGCATCTTCGTACCAGGTATCAGTCGCCTGCCCTGCCCTGCCCTGCAGACAGGGTAGTGTGGGCTAGAAGTGAGCCATGCTGGCTGGTTGTCCAGGACACGCCCCGCCTCCTGCCCCTGCCCCCAGGTAGAAGTGGTGGGGGACGTGTCTGGGCTCCTTGGGCCCTCCTGGGCGCTGACAGTGTGACCACCCCAACTACAGATCTCTGTGCCCACAGATCTAACCAGCGCTTCCTATGTGGCATCACCACCTGCTGGGTGTGTCCAGCCCCCCGAGCCTCTACCATCCATAGCCTGTCCCTGGTTCAGCCGGTAAATGGCACCACCAGCCACCTAGTGGGCCAGTCTCGCTGGTCATTGCTTCTGTCTCCTCCCCTCCTGCCCTTCTCCCGGGGCCTCCTGTCCTCACCTCCACCTTATACCCAATCCAACCACAGTCCAGACGCCCCTGTGAGGCAGGATCCAGTCTTGTGCCCAGCTGCCCTTGGTGTGGAATCCAGGCCCTCCTCAAGCCCCTAGCGCTAGCCCACCTGACCCTGCCTGGCGGTCACCACTGCCTTACTCCTCTGCTCTCCCTTCCTGATCGGCAAGCCCACTAGCTGACCCCTGCCCGGGGGGACCCCCACCCCCGCATGCTGCTCACCCTGCTGGGAACTCTGTCCGCAGGTCTACTCGCACTTCCCTGCCTCACCGTCCCTCCGAGGAGCCCTCTCCTCGTCCTGCTGGACATTCCAGAGCGCTCTGTCTCTCAGACATTAGCTTCAGTTCCATCAGAGCAGGCTGCATCCTCCTCACTGCTCCCCCAGCAGCCAAAACAGGGCCTGACACAGTCGCGGCCCTGAGTGGGTTTCTCCCCACCCTGTGTCTGTCCCGGGCAACTTCTCGCAGGACGGTTACGGCTCCGGCTCACCAGTGGCTGCCAGCAGCTGTGAGAATAAGCCGTGTCGCCCGCCTTCTGCCGGCCAGCCTCCGCTCTCCGCCGCGGGCGCGCTCTGCCCGCCAGGTGCGTGTCCCTAGCCCGGGGAGTGGGCGCAGAGATGTTCAGCTCAGCATGGGGAGCCCCGTTAAGCCCGGATGTGAGACATTCCAGGTTCCGAGGAGATCAGGGTATAGTCGCGTGTCGTTTAACACCGGGGCCTGTTCTGAGAGACGTGGTGTCGGGCTCTGTCAGGGAACATCACTGAGTGAGGGCAGGCCTGGCGGTGCGGCCACCACGCCCCACTCTGGGCGCTGTCTTCTGTCATCCTTGGTCGACACGTGCCTGGATGTGGCGCTGGGACTGCCTCCTCCAGCGCCCGAAAGCCTTTGTGTGGGGGTGGGGGTGGGGTGGGGGGCTGACTGCGCAGCAAGGGCTTTTCTCCAAGGACGCTTTCCCAGGACCCAAGGACTTGGATTCTAGAGGAGGAAGAGCCAGGGCGCAGGCTTCCGGTCAAGAGGGGTCCCAGGAGTTAGACATTCAGGAAGCTCGCGGCCAGTTGCCCCCAAGACCCACTCACGATTCGGGGCCTGGGGTCCACGCTGGCTCGTGGAGCTGGGGAGGTGGTGCGCGTAGGGACTCCGCTCTCTGACCCCGGGCGACAGCGGTGAGGCGGCTTCTTCAGAACGGGCTGTGTTTGCTCCCCAGGGACGAAAGGAGCCTACGGTCAGCCCTGCGGGGGCTGCAGCCCAGCACAGCTGCCACAGCAGCCGCCCACCGCTCAGGAGGGCCAGGCAGCCAGCTCCACACCTGCCAGCCACACCTACGCCCCAGCCAGCGGCCAGCCGGCAGCCTCTGCCTCCCCTCTACCTCCCTACACCCCGGGCTCCTCTTTCAGCCCCGCCTCCGCCCCATGCTCCGGTAATCGGGGGCGCCAGGGGTGTGCACGCTGGTGGCTGGCAGTGTAGTCCCAGAAACCAGTCCATCCGCTCTCTCCTCGTCTGCCTCTTAGGCCCGAGCTACTCAGGCTATGACACATCCATGTGCCCAGCTGCCAGTCTGTTCTACCCTCCACCGCTGCCCCCACAGATACAGCCCCCATCTGCCCCGGCACCCCTCCAGCCGCCGCCGCCGCCGCCGCCTCCCCAGCAGCCCCCAGCCCTCCCCAAGCCCGCAGACGCCTCCCTGTGGAGCAGCTCAGGGAGCAGTCCCAGTGCCAGCGCTGCTGACGGTGTCCCCAAGAAACCACCGGCCCCCAACAAGCTGCTGAGAGCCAAGGGCAGCCCCAGGTCGTCGCTGCTCCTCTACTGTGAGGTCTGCAAGGTCGGCTGCGCTGGTCCGCAGGTCAGTCGCCTCGCCTGTGCCGGCAGGCCCCCTCTCACCGACCCGAGGTCAGGACGTCAGGGTCAGGGTCACTGCTGCCCCATCAGGTGCACATCAGGGGTGGCCTTAACATGGGCAGCTGGTGAGGAGGGCACGCCCTGGGTGTTGGCCACAGAGCATGGCCTTCGCTGCGCTGGGCAGCGGGCAAGAGGCAGCCAGTGTCCTCTCCCCAATGCAGGGAGGGCTGGGGCACCAACAGGGCCTCCCAGCGGCCACTACAGCTGGCCTGCTGGGCGGTTTACCAGGGCCAGAAGTGGATGAAGACAGGTTAGTGCGTGTGCGTGCATGTGTGCAGGACACACGTGTGCGCGTGAGAGTGCCGCCTAGGTGAAGGGCCCTCCAGCCGGCGCCCAGCGCGCCTTGTGGAACGGTGACCAGACACACCACAAAATAGCAGGCGCCTCTTCTGTTCCGTGCCCGCCTGCTCCCCGCTCCCAGGCAGTCGAGGGTTTCTGGGTTTCTCGTGTGCTTTCCAGCGGCGTTTTCAGTACACGAGTGTGGCCTCTTGGCGGTGAGAGCACCCTGCGGAGCAGGCGCGCGGGCTGGGTTTGCTGTGGTCCTCGCCTTCGGATCCCAGGGTGGCGCGGGGCCGCCGCGTGAGAGCTGGGGCGCTCGCCGGCACAGGTGGGCATCGTGGCCCTGTGGAGCAGGACTCGTGGCCAGGACTCCTGCATCCTCTCCCACACAAGCCCCTCGCATACAGCAGCGTCTGGAAGGGAAGCGTGCCCGGCGTCTTTCGTTGCTACCTGTCCTTGCCGGGTCTCGGAGGCCTGAGATCTTTGCTGGGGTTCAGAAAAACCAGGAGTTTCAAATGGCCCCCCAAACTAAATGCATGATCCTTTGAGGGTGTTTGGTTAAGAAAGGCGTGTTTTAGGAAAGAGAAAGCAGCCTCAGTCTTCGTTCTGAGTGTGTGGAGTGGGCTTACCTAAAGGGGTACCTGGCGAGCACGCGCCGCCCTCGGGCCCCTCTCTCTCTGCTGACAGACCTATCGTGAGCACCTGGACGGACAGAAGCACAAGAAGAAGGAGGCAGCTCAGAAGACCGGCAGCCAGCCCACCGGCAGCCCACGCCGGGTGCAGGCCCAGCTGCACTGCGGCCTGTGTGCTGTGTCCTGCACCGGGGCTGAGGCCTACGCAGCCCACATCCAGGGGGCCAAGCACCAGAAGGTAGGTGCCCCGGAGGGGCCATGCTGAGCCCTCCGCAGGGACCCAGTGGGGTGTCAGTGCCCGGAGGCAGCAGTGGTGGGAGGAAGCGCTGTCTGTAGGCCACATAGCGCCCTCCTCCCAGCCAGTTTCACCTCCCAGAGAGGAGAGTCTTCCTGCCGCTGGGCAGAAGCGTAAAGCGGGGAGGGATGGGATCGAGGCCCAGAGGAAGCATTCTTGACATGAGGTGTGTTCCTACATTCACATGAACGAGAGTTCGAACTTTGAGGCGAGCAAAGGGTATATTCCACACGGGCTCCTGCTTTTCAAAAATAAATCAAATTGTACAAACCAAATTAAATCGGAAGTTTTATATCAAAGTCTTAATTGATATTAAATGAGTATCAGTATTTGGGGCATGTGTTACTGTTTCAATGCCAGTGTTTTCCTTGGGCCTGTCTTTTCCTGGGGGAAGTTCATGGGCTCCCCCAGCTGACAGGCAGGGGGATGTCGCCTCCCTCCCTGAACCTGCTCTTCCTACGGCCCAGAAGGTACTTTGAAGAGCAGCAGCCCTCTTCTAGATGGCATCTTACCCGGCGCTAGAATGTTCACAGCCTGGGCGTGTGTTGAGAGGGGAGGAGGATGCCCGCTGGGTCACCTCCTCGGAGCGTCGTGTGGGTCTGGACTGGGCAGTGGGCGAGCCCTGCCCCCGCCCAGCACGCTGTCTCCTGTCCTCCTGCTCCTGTGCCTTTGCTCCCACCGCACCCCCCAACTCTGCCTTCCGCCAGCCCCCCACTGCCCTGTGACCACCTGCTTGAGGGTCTGTCTTCAACCTGACCCTTAAGGGCCTGAACCAGCCCCAAGTCCCACCAGGGAATGAGCAGAGGGGGGAAGGAGGAGGGGAGGAGGGGGTGGAGAAGTGGGGGAAGGGAACGCCCTGGCTTGACTGCGCTGTAGGGCAGAGGCAGAGGAGCTGGGCTCAGGCCGCTGGGCTTCAGGAGCCAGGGAGCACCTGACGCCGGCTCAGGAGCTGTGAGTGTAGGAGACTTAGACCTGGGAAACGTGTCCGGGGTGGTCCTCCATGCAGAGGCTGAGGCCGAGGCGTTCCGGTGGGACATTTGCACTAAGTGCTTTTGACGGGGAGTGCGGTGGGGCGAGGGCTGGCTGAGGATGGGGAGACGGGACTCTCGGTAGACCTGTGTCCATGCGTTCCTGCTCAGTGTGGCCTTTAGCCACCACCTTCCAGGCACGCTGTGCCCCTGCTGGGGTGGGCACCGGACCGGGCTCGGGAGGCAGAAAGTGGCCCTTTGGCCCCAAGCAGTGTTTGGAGGGAAAGGCTTGGTGGGAGCCAGCGGGGCGGACGCACGGTCTGATCTCCTGACGTTCCGGCCAGCGAGGGACAGCACAGATGGCACAGGTCCCCACGGGCCCTGCCGCTACCTGGGCGCCAGCGGCCCTCCCACCTTGGTCTGCGTGACGACGCCCGTGGCGCTCGCACACGGTACAGTCCCCTGAGCCACGTCCCGGTTGTTAAGCTGCGTTGACTGCTGTGTGCGTACGTGGCTAGTGGGGAGCGAGAAGCAGGAGCCCCTCTGAAGCCCTTCTGGGGGGAATGTTGCTGCTCCTCATACACAGTGAGGCGGCCACAGCCCACCCCGCCCCGGGCCCATGCTCTGCTTCTCTTGAACATCTTCAACCAGGCCTAGAAGTGGCCCTGACAGGGAGGCCTGGGTCTGTTCCAGGTCTTCAAGCTGCACACCAAATTGGGGAAGCCCATTCCCATCGTAGAACCAGCGCCGGGAAACTCCAGGTTGGCCCAGCCTGCCGGCAGCAGCGAGCCAGCCCCCCTCACCCCACTTGACCCCGCCGCCAAGCCCGTGGCCCCTGCCGGCCCCGGCACGCACACCTTGAGCAAGCCAGTGCCGCCCCAGCGACCCCCCGCCTCGCAGGCCGCACCCGCAGGTACGTGTCTGCAGGCTCCTGTGCTCTGGCGGGCAGGTTCGGCTCTGATGAGTTTGTGGGCTCCTGGAGACCCTCATCCCTGCCTTCCCTCTCGTGGGAGACTCGGTGGCCTCTGCGTGACAAGGGTCGGGCTGGAAATCACTGGGATCGCATTCCCTGCCTGCTAAGCGGTTTACCCTTGACCCTGTAAAGTAGATTTTGTCGTTAACTTGCAGATGCACAGCTGATGTGGGGCGAGGTTGGTGACTGGCCAGGGGACACCCGTAAGCAGTGCAGGTGGCAGTCAAACCGGGTCGATCTGTCAGTCTCTGCCCTTTACCTCCACACTGGACAAAGGAGGGGGAGGGGGTGTCTTCGACATTTAGCCCAGGAAACCCTGAGATTTGAATAATCACGTGATGTTAAAGACCAGATTATTAAATAAGACCAGATCACAAACAATTTTGATAAAAAATGTCTTCCTGGTGAGGCCACTGGGTTTGCCCAGTGGGACCAGGCTGACCTGGTCCTCGGCCTTCCTGGCATCTCGCATCTGTGAACTGGGCTTTGTCCAGCTGGAGCTCCCTGAGCTCGGCCTCCAAGCAGACTTCCCAGGGGTGCATCTGAGCTGCATCCATCCAGCGTGGGATGGGCCCCACTCTCAGCTGGGGTCTAAGCTGGCACCAGAGGGTCTTGGGGGCTTCCACAGGGGCGGGAAGTGGGGCAGCGGGAACGCAGTGGTAGGGTTCACACGGCAGACAGGAAGCCCACCACGGTTTTTGGCTCAAACATGACAAATAACACAGTTCTTCCCTCTAGGGCTTTCTGAGGAACAAGCAGTGGGCAGCAGACCCCCTGAGCCCAAAACGGAGGAGCCCAGAGGACTAGCTACTGGAGGAGGCTCTGAGGAAGCTTCTGGAAGCTCCTGTGACTCGCAGCCAGTAGGCCCAGAGTATGTGGAAGAGGTAACTGCCGCACCCACAGGACAAGTGCAGTTTACAGGCCAGACCAGGCAGCCTCGGCTAAGCCCACAGGCAGGTCCGGGCTTCAGATCCTAGAAACAGGATGTGGTATGAGCAGAGGCGTTTCCTGCCAGGCGGCTCTTTTTACCTGTGGGAAGACAAGCAGGAAGAGAAATCCAGGCCCTTGAAATTGAGGCATTTGGAAAGCTCCCATGTTGCCCCTTTGCTGGGCCCGAGGCTCTCAGGACCTGCTGGGGCCGGGCCCATAGACCGCAGGGCCAGGTCTCTGTCCACCTCTGTCGCCTTTAGCCCCGGGCATGGGTAGGTCTCCTGCACACCCTGTTGGCACTCGGTGAGCCGCCGTCCAGGTGCCCAGAGCCCTAACAGGTGTGTCCTCCCACCCTCACCCCTGAGTGCTCCAGCAGCCCAGCGGTATCACTCCCAAAGACAGGCGTGAGGTGGCATTGACCCTTCTTCCTGTTCATGTTCTTGGAAACCAGTTCAGCGTCTTCCGTTTGTCCTGTGCAAAGTGGCCATTCCAGGCAGCTTCATGCCGTTGGAGACCCTGTCACTTCCTAGTTTAAGGAGAGCAGGGACAGAGGCCAAAGGAGCTGGAGAAGGCACAGTGGGTAGGCATGGCCTCGTGAGGGAGCCTGCAGGGCCAGGCTGTGCTGGGGGGCGAGGGTGGGGCGGGGCCTGGGGACAGAGCTGTTCTGAAGACTGCCCTTCAAATCAGACCACTGGGGGAAAGTTTCCTTTTTATTACAATAGTTACTTTGAAATCATTTCCCCCATCCCATTCTAACCCCCATGGGCTTTCCATCACCAAATCACCCTCCGGGGAAATTTTCTGAACAAATCACGGGGCAAACAGGAAGCCAGCAGCCTCCCTGGGTCCGTGCCCTTCCCGGGAAGGAGGTGCCCCTGCCTGAGAGCCAGACCCCTGATGGTGCGCTGATTTGTGTCTCAGGTGTGCAACGAAGAAGGCAAAGTGACGCGGTTCCACTGCAAGCTGTGTGCGTGCAGCTTCAACGACCACAACGCCAGGGACATGCACATCCGGGGGCGGCGCCACCGGCTGCAGTACAAGGTGCGGCCAGCAGGGGCGCCAGGCCGCCCCTCTGCTCACCCCGGTTGGGGTCTGGGGAGATTCCGGTGCTTTCTACATCTCGCCCATGTCTCACATTGCACCGTTTTTTTTTTTAAGATTTATTTATTTGTGCAGAACTGGGATACAGGCCAGAGGCTCAGGGGCGGTGAGAGGCTTCACCAGAGACAGAGCGGGGAGCAGAACAGGCAGATCGACGAAGTACACTGCTAAGGGGAGCAGGGGCGGGTCAGGAGAGGTCTGCCGCGCCATGTGGTCACCTCCGGGGCAGGCGGGGATCGGACTCATGCGGAAGCGGCTTTAGATTCTCAGTGCTGTGCTTTAACCCGCTGCACCAGCGGGGAGGGCCCTCACATTGCACCTTTTGCCTCGCCGGCCTGAGCCCCGGAAGGCGGCTCTGGCTTGGGACGGGAGGAGACCTCTCAGGTGGCCTGAGGAACTGCGTGTGGGCCACCTGCTGACGGAAGGACCCCCACGGGGTTGTAGTTGCCCTTGTATTTTACCCCTTGTTGCCAGAGGAAGTTCTCAAACATGGGTATCTTCAGAAGCGGGCCTCCCGGTGTGGCCCCTCCAGGGCTCAGCTTCGGTTGAGTGGGGAGCAGAACAGGTGGATCCACTGAAACACACGCTGAAGGGAGTAGCGGGCAGGTCAGGATTGCGCCCTGTGGGTCACTCCCTGGCCGGGGATTGAACTCATGCTTCAGAGGCTGTGGACAGCTTCCTAGTGCTGCATTTTAACCTGTTGTGGCACCAGGGAGGGCCCCTGGACATTTCCTTAAGTGAGAGCAAATGCTGTGTGGCCTGTCATGTCTGGCTTCTCTCCCAAAGCATCGTGTTTTCAAGCCCCACCCACCTAGCAGCTCCTTTTTATGGCTCAGCACTATTTCAGTGCCTGGATGGACCACATTGCGTTAATCCACTCATCAGCTGATGGACCCTGGGTCTCTCTGTACCAGTGAATAATCCTTAAACGACACATGCGACTTCCTGAATGACAAAACTGATGTTCTAGAAACGAGCGTTTAACAGTTGAACTGGCAGTGATGCACCAGGTGGCAGACCGTGGCCCAGGACTGCGCGTGCTCGACGGCCTCCGTGGCCTGACCGTGTACTGGTGTGCAGTAGTGGCCGAGTCTTCTAGTGACACATTTCTTAGCCGGCCCCCATTGCTAGTCAGAGCATGACTGTTTGCTGGATTCCGCATCACCGACGTTGCTCTGAATTACATGATTGGGGCCGAGCGTCCCAGTCTGTGTGTGCGTCACCTTCTCTGATGTCTTAGTCAGATGCATGATGGGGTCCAGCCGCCACCGCTGTCTGTCCCCTGTGAACTCTGGGTGTCGGCTGTGTTTTGTTCCCCTCAGTGCTTCCCTTCCCCACTGTGGGCCTTGGGGAGGAGGAGTGTGACTTTAGGGTCGAAGCCCAGTGGGAGGATGTCACGGTGGGGCTCTCCTGGGTTCCCGAGACTCACCGCAGTCTCCTTCGATGAAGGGCTGCATGTACGTCCTCTTCTTGTCTTTCCAGAAAAAAGTGAACCCCGAGCTCCCCCTGGCACTCAAGCCCAGCCCCAGAACCCGGCGGGTTGTGGAGGAGCAGCTGCGGAAGCAGAGGCAGCTGACCAAGCGGCGGCTGGAGGCCATGCGGCGCTGGCACAACCAGATGAGGTGTGGCCCTGGCTCTGCCCGCCGCCCGCCCACCGGGGCTTGGCGGCGAGCCAGACCTGCACGCGGGGCTGAGGGGCTGCTCTGCCCTCCACCTGCTAAGCGTGGGCCGGGCAAACCAAGGGGAGCTGCTGATAGCCTGGCTTCCAGGGCGCTGGCGGCCCGCATCTCCCCGCCCTTGGGAGCAAGTGCTTCCTGCCACGGCAGCTCGTTCAGGGAAGCTCCGCAGCGTGAGTCTGCTGGGGTGTCAGCTGGCCCAGGGCTGCAGCTTCGGGCTCCCTGGCCTGTGCTCAGCAGGCTGGCGCAGGGCACATAATTACAGCGTCTTGTGGGTCACGATGGGGCCCCCGTGCCGGGTCGCCTGCCAGTCAACCTGGAGCCCCAGCCTACCCAGTGTGATGGTGAGGAGACTCCCGGCTTTCCCATGTGGCCGAGGGGACAAGCCCGGGGTCCCACACTGCCCAAGGGGACAAGCCCGGGGTCCCGCGCTGCTCACAGTTCCTTGTCCCCTCTCGTCCCGCAGGCAAGATGACATCTGCAGGAGGCGGCTGGCACAGGCGCCGGCTGCCCAGGATGACCACCCGGGACACCCCAGGCCGGCCTGCCCGCCGCCCCTCATGGTCAGGCCTGGGGAGCCCGCCCCTGCGGCCCTGGTGAGCAGGGCTTGTCTTCCTGCTACTGGGTGTTAGCCCCAGGGGTGGATGGCATTCTCACTCCCTCGCCAGAAAGACCTGGGCTCTCTCCGGAAGGAGGGGCCAAGTTTTGTACCTAGGCCTGCGGAAAGGGCTGGCACTGGAGGAGTACACCTTCTTTCTGATCACCAGGCCCTGCCCTACCGTCGTCGCTGTGTTTCTTTAGCTTCAGGAGGCCCTGCGGTCACACCCCTCAGGAGCCCGCACAACTTGCCCGCAGACCAGGCCCTGGGCAGATAGGCGCCTTTAGTTTGCACTAGCCAAGGGGAGAGACCTTGGTGGGCCAGACGCTGGCTGAGAAATGCGAGAGTGTGGCCAGAGGAGTCCTCTGGGCTCATACTTGGCCCAGCGCTCCCAGGCAGACCCATGGCCCTGGCTCCTGCACTGTCCCGTGGGCACCCACCTTTCCTCGGCTGGGCTGTCCAGCCACCACCTGCCTATCATCCCACGGTCAGCCTGGCTCCGGCACTGGATCCTGGGGCCCTCAACCCACCCACCCTGTGCCCCATCTCCCCACAGCCCACTCGGCGGCCGGAGTCCAGCGATGACCGGCACGTCATGTGCAAGCACGCTGCCATCTGCCCCACCGAGGAGGAGCTCCGGGCGGCGCAGAAGGCCATCTCCCACTCGGAGCGCGCGCTTAAGCTGGTGTCTGACACTCTGGCTCAGGAGAGTTCCAGAAACCCAGAGCAAGAGGGCAGAGAGCGCAGGTAGGAAAGGTCCACGGCCTGTCTCCCCCCCAGGCCGGGGTGACTCGCGGAGCTCAGGGGTCTGCTCACTCTGGAGCGGAAACCCGGTGCCTGAAAGGCGGCGCCGCCAGGAGGGCAGACGCCCGGCAGCGCCCAGCGCCGCTCTCACGTGAGCCTTCCAGCGCCCAGGCTCTCCGGCCACCGCAGGAAATGCAGACCTGGAGCGCCACGGCTCCCAGCGCGCCAGTGCCACGAGAGCGTTGTTTTGACAGTAGAATTCACTTTCCCACTGAAGAGGCACCTGGTAGCGCAGTCCACAAGGGCGGGCCACTTCTCGTCCTCATCGGGGGGCGGGAGGGGTGTGTGACCCACCCCCCACCTCTGCCTCCCAGCCCTGGGGGCCTCCAGCCACGGGGGCCAGCCGCTGCGTTATAATGAGCGGCGGGCGCACAGGTGAGTCTGAGGGCACTGGCCCCTCCACGGCCCTTCTCTCTGCGCGCTCTTCTTTCCCTTCTTTTAGGCGTGTTTTCTGTGTGGTAAAACACACAACGTGGGCGGACGACGTTCCGCGCTGTGCGTGTGCTGGCATTGTCCGCTTGGTCCCCTCGGCGCCGGGTCTGAGCCCTCCTCCTCCTCCCGGTAGCCTCCGTTCTGAGTCACATTGGTAGTGGTTGCGTTTGGTTGGTTTTTTTCTGGCCCTTTATTTGGTTTCTCTATATCCTAAAACATCTGAGTTAAGCCATCTGGCAATCAGAACCCCCTTCAGTTCCATATGTGTTGTACCAAGTGGCAAGAGATCGTCTTTTTTATGGCTGAGTAGTATTCCCCCGTGCGTATCTTGTGGAAGAATAGTGCAGCGAACAGGAGTGCGTCGATCCCTTCCAATTAGTGGTTTTGCATTCTTTGGGTTGATGTCTAGGAGTGGGATTGCTGGGTGATTTATTAGACCTCTTCTTAGTGTTTTCGGAAACATTCATGAGGCTGTGCAGCCATCTCCACTTCTGTTTACACAAAGTTCACCATTCCAAGCAGAAGCTGTATCCCTAGTACATCCCCCAGCCTCTGGCACCCCACTGCCCCCCACAACAATACTTGGTTTGGCTTGTTCACTCATATAAGGGGGATGGCACAAAGTTGCCCTTGTGTATCCAGTTGATCCCACTTAGTGTGGGTAGCTTCTTTTCACAGTAATGTGTGTTCTCTAGAAAAAGCTTGTCCCTTATGAGCTGCAAAGTGTTGGAACAAAATGGATTTACCTAACTTCAGGCAAGTATCACCCCAGGATCTTGCATTTACTTGGGGGCTGAGCCCGCTCCTCCCCCGTAGGGAAAGCAGGGGCACAAAGAACCCTTTCTTTCAGCCTGCCCTGAGCTCATCCGCAAAGTCCCAGGAGCAGAGTCCCTGAAGGGGAAGCCATCCCAGCTCTGAGGTTGGCCCGGGCTTGGTGTTTGCTCCTGAATCAAGACAACGTGGTCAGTACCAGCCCCTAAGCGTGCCATGTGCCCTACAGCCCTGCGCTTCTGGCCTCCCGGCATTGGGGGGGCAGGGAGGCAGGCACGCCCTGTCCACGGCCGACTCGCCCGGCCGGGGCCGCACCAGGCTGCACAGGCGTGCCGTGCCCGTCCACCCTCCCAGCTCCTGCTGGTCAGCCTGACGGCGAGGAGGACTCATCTCGCCGCCTGCAAGTCCTGAGTTTCCTGCCCGGTACATGTTCAGTTTTTCACCTCTTATTTTGAAGCGATTATGGACCTGTAGCAAAAATAGCACGGAGGTTGGGAACACCCTCCCCCAGTGGGGACACAGATGCACAGAGTGTCAGGCCTGAAGCCTACGTCAGGAGCCCCACACCCTCCTCCGCGTTCCCACTTTTAGCAGCCCCCTCTCAAATGGCTGCCTGCGCAGTCCCGTGCATCTCATCACGTCGCGGGCCCTGGAACCTGCCAGCTGGGAGACAGTCTTCCGGGCACAAGGGACACCCCTGGGCGCTGCTCCCCGAACTCCTCCCTACACCTGGGCGCCACTTCATGGCTTCTGAGCTGTCACATAACATTGTGTCATGTTATGTGTTGTTGTGGCCTCGAGTTACTTTTTAGGAACACAGAAATGTGTTCTTTTCTTCTTGGGAACGTGATAAAGTAGTCTACAGATGCCCCAGTACTTAGCTAAGTAGTGCAGTGAGGATATTAGTGGATTTTTAAAACTTACATTATGGAAATGTTCCACTATATAGACGGTGACAGAGTAGTAAAATTAAAGTGAACCATTTGGCCGCCGTGAAGCGTGGTCTGTCACTGCGACCATACTCGTGTCTGTAGGGGCCTAAAGGAAATCGTGTCCACATCATGCCACTGGCTGGTAGTCATGCGCTTCTCCAAGCAGTAAGGGTCCCTCTTTCTGAGGTGTAACCACAACACCATGATTACACTTCAAAAATCCAACAGTAATTCTTTAACACCATCAAATATCCAGCCCAAGCCGAAATTTCCATGATGTGGTTTTTCTGTGTGTTTTGGGGTTTTGTGCCGAGTGGGGCTCTCGCGGTCTCTCTGTCGTGCCCCTCCCATCCTGCTCTGTGCTCTCTCTTCCTGGTGAGTCCTGCGTCTTGCTTGAAGAGCCTGGTCCTGGCGTGTGGTCCGTGTGTCCAGGGCTGGGATTTTGCTGGCAGCTTCCTGAGCCAGGTCAGGTCTCCTTGGCTCTGTCAGGCTCAGCACTCTCACTGCAGAAGCAGGCAAGAAATATGTAAAGCTGGAAAAAATAATAAGGTTATCAGACATCTCAACAAGTGTCACAAAGAAAGCGAAGGGGCAGTTCTGGAGTGACAGGGGCGGGTGGCAGCTTCTGGAGCAGCGAGGGGACATTTGTGTCAAGATCCACCACAGGAGGGCACCCCAGGCGGCGGCTCCCCTCAGGAATGAGCACCAGGGGCCTAAGAGCCAGGGGGCCAGGACGGGGTGGCCTTGGCCCTGGAAGAAGCTGGGTGTCCTCCACTGGCGGAGGAAGCCTGAGGGGGCTAGGCAGGGGGGAGCCTCCCTGTGGAGAGCTGGCCTAGACCTGGGCACAGGTGGGGGCCGAGGGGCAGGCTGGGAGGAAATGGGGAGGAGAAGCAACTGGAGAGGCCCGGGGCCACCGTGATGCCTTTCTAGCGCATGGTTTGTGGGGAAAGGCTGCACTGAGCACGCGCACTGTGCTGATTGTAGTTCCAAGTGCTTTTCTCGGCTGCACCGCCTTCCCCCAGGTTCCCCGCCAGAGGGGGCATGCGCCTGTTCTCAGATGAGGAAACTGAGGACGGGGGCCCCAGGGTGCTGACATTCCAGGAACTTGTGAGCACAGAGCCCGATTGCACAGGCCTGGGTCCCTGGCTCGCTTGCCCCTCTTTCTCACGTGTTTGTGGGTCTGTCTCCTCAGTGGCCTCAACCCCTCCACTCGGATCCTGAAAGGCGTGATGCGGGTGGGCCTCCTGGCCAAGGGCCTCCTGCTTCGGGGTGACCGGAAGGTGCGGCTGATCCTGCTCTGCTCCCAGAAGCCCACGCACACCCTGCTGCGGCGGGTCGCCGAGCAGCTGCCCCAGCAGCTCTTGGTAAGGTCCCAGGGGTGCTCTTAGTGACCTCATAGCTTTCAGACACTCGGCCTCACCAGCAGACACAGAGCAGTTGGGTTTTATAGATGTCCCCCTGAGCGAGCACTGGCAACCTCAGGGTTCCTTGACATTGCGAGTTCCGGCTGGGTGGGGTTCCCGGGCCCAACCGGCGCGGATGGTGTGGAGGTGCCCCGCCCCCAGCGAGCTCAGTTCACCGCAGCTCTGACGCGGCCATCCAGCACTGCGACAGGCCTCCTCGGGACAGGGCTCAGTCTCCTGACCATCCTCATTTGCCCTTCCGAGTAGCTGGCTACAAAGCAGAGGTTACCCATAGCCCCCCTTCAGGGTCAATTCATTCGCTAGAATGGCTCACAGGACTCCAGAAACCTAGTTTAATCACTAGATCACGGATTCATTACCAAGGACATAACTGGGAAGGGCCAGATGAGAGCCCCCCGGGGCAAGGTGGGGACAGGGCCCACTGCAGCTCCAGGCACCCTCTCCCCTGGGCCTCTCGCAGCTGCGCCTCTCGCAGCTGCGCCTCAAGCAAGCAGGACTGATGGCCCCGGAGGCCTCTGGACCTGACCTCAGCCTCTGCCCCTGGAGGCCCGTCCCCGCACCCAGATGCTTCCCCAGATGCCACCTCATTCACCTGACAACACTCACCTCTTTATCCCTCCTAACACTTAGCTGGGAGCCAGGAACCCTGAACAAAGACCAAATATGAATGAGAAACAGATTCTGGTCACCTGAATCACCAAGTGTGTACTCTGGTAAATTACAGTACCTCAAAGGCAGGCCGCGGTGCCTGGGCCGGCTCACCGGGCAGCGCCTCAGCGCCACCAGGAGGGGCAGATGGCGCCCAGATGCGACTCCTGTCCTCACCTGGAGAGTGGGAGAGGGGAGGACCCACTTCTAGGGTGCGGGAGGCGGGCTGGGTTTCCTGCTCTAGCCTGTTTGTGCTGCTGCCGTAGTTCTTCCTCGCTGAGGTGGTGGCTGGGAAGAGAGTCCCGCCGGTTAAAAGGTTGACCGGTTTAGGTTTGAAGCAGCCCACAGCGCCTTCCCAGTGCTTCTGTCTGCGCTGCTCCCGGAAAATTCAGCAGGCGCCTCCACCTGGCGAGCACTGCTGCAGCAGCCCAGCCTCCCGTGCCAACTCACACTTTAGCTCCTGGGAAGAGACTGGCTGAGACGGTGCCAGGGCGGCTCCTGACTGGACCAGTGTGTGCAGACACCAGGCCTGAGGGGGCGGGGCCTGCCCTGGCAAGGCTGAGGGAGCCCCTGGGGGAGCGCACCTGAGGGCCAGGACGGGTCGGGCTGGGCTGGCGGCTGTGTGAGGTGAGGCAGAATTGTTTTTGCAGGTGTGTGGGGAGGCTCGAGGGTGTGAAGCCAGGGAATGAGGCGCTGCAACGGAACCACGCACTTTCTAAGGCCTGTGACACGCCAGCTGGCTGTGGCCACAGGGGTGCAGCGAGGTCCAGACACAACCCTGTCTGTGGAAACTCACAGCCAGCAGCTAAACCACACCTGAGCCCACGGAAATGCTCAGGCTGTGGGAGAGCTGATGGCACCCACCCTGCCGCACGTGCAGGTGGGGTGCAGCGTGGGGGGCCTCGGTGGAGGCTGTGGTGGGCCGGGAGAGTGGTGCAGTTCACATGCCAGACCAGCCTGAGGTTTGCATGCAGGAGGCATGCCAAAGGTGCTTGCCTCTCCCAGGCAGAAACTCTGGGATCCACACAGCAACCCCAGGTGGGTCTTGGGCTCCCTGTTTGTCAAAGACCTGAAGCCTCGCTGGGACCAGGGAGGCTCCAGCGGAAGCATTTGAACCCTAAGTCTGACTTGGGAACCCCACGCCCTGGCCATTGTGGAAAGACTGCGTAACTACGGGTGGGGGGGACATCCCTGGGGTGCAGAGACAATTCTGTGACCCCTGGGGCCCAGGAGTCTGCCACCAGCGCCCATCAGCCATACCTGGCCACACAGTCCCAAAAGGTGAGGGGCCAAGTAAGGCCTGTCAGCGCCCTAGTCACCACCCCAAACCCACCTTCCTTGTGAGGCGCCCTCAGGACAGGAGGCCGGGTTCTTGGTGGCTGCGAGACAGAGGGCCCCCTCTCCCGAGACCCAGCGCAAGGGGCCCCAGAGCCGTGGCTGGAGAGGCCGTAAGGGCAGCGAGGAGGGCAGCACCCAGAGAGGGCGTCGAGGGCCTCTGGGAGGAGCCCCGGTGATGCAGCCGGGCCCCGCGATGCCTGTGCTTGGGGCGGGGGTCTGCGGCAGGAGGCGGGGCAAGCCGGGTGGACGCCAGTCTGCCGGGGAAGCCAGCGGACCCGGCCCTCCGGACGCGCAGGAGCATGTCCGCATGTGGAGGAGCTTCTCACCTGACGGCAGCTGCGGGGCCACGTGGTAGTTACGGCGCTCTTTCCTCTCCGTGGCCGCGGGCTGCCTCGCTGCCACGTGCCGGCACTGGCTGGGGTGCTGCCGTGAGGCCACACAGAATGAGCTCCCCACGCGGGAGCACGCCCCCGGGCGGAGTTGGTGGGTCAAGGCTGTGAGCCCAGTGCTCCTGCCAGAAGACCTCCCTCGGCAGGGGGTGGACGCTGGGCTGGCCAGCCTCGCCCTGGCCAGTGACCAGGCATCGCCCTGTTACATTTACTTCTGCTGCTGGGGGTGGTGGTGGGTGGTCTGTGGCATTTTGTGGGCAGGGCCGTGTCCTCCTCTCTCTGCAAGCGCTGTTCTGGCACGGGCCAGCTCTAAGCGGCCTACTGGATTCCCGGGCGCCCTTTGGCCTGAGGGTGCCTCACGCGGGACACAGAGGCTGCAGAAGACTCAGGCGGGTGCTCCCTGGAGGACAGGGCCGGCCTCTGCCCGGCCCCGGAACACTCCTGCTTGTTACGGGCACCTCGAGCTGGAGTAACTGGCCTGGTGATGTGTCTGCACCTTGCAGGTGGTGACGGAGGACAAGTACCAGGTCTCCTCCGACCTCGAAGCCAGCATCATCATCTCCGCCTGTGAGGAGCCCAGGATGCAGGTCGCTGTGTCAGTTACCTCACCCTTGATGCGGGAGGACCCCTCCACAGACCGAGGTGCAGCCTGGCCCCTGGCAGCTGGGGGTCTCGGGCAGGGTGCTGTAACCCAGTGTCTCGGCACATCTGTCAGCCACAGGTCACTGGGGAATGGAGGAAGTGAGTGGGCCGTGTCAGATGACTGAGAGTCAGATCAGGGCACCCCTCCTCTGGCCCAGGGGCAGTTCCCGAAGCTTCGGCAAGAGCTGTTGGAGTCCATTCATCTGTGCATCGCAGGGGTCACCTCAGACCCTGCTGGTCTCTCTGCCGCTCCTTGGGACCCGCTCAGAAGCTTGAGGCAGACCACCATTGCCTGGGAGAGGCAGGCGGGCAGACCACGAGACCGGAGACCAGCCGGAGCCTGGTTACAGCGAGGTTTGGTCCCCGGACCTCCTCGCGTCATGCTGCGCAAGTTCCGAAATAGCCCCCAAACTCCAGTCTTCCTGATCCGCTTCGTGGTTTTTGGTCATGGCTGGAGGCAGTGAACTCTCATTTCGCTTTAAGTCAATTAATTCTTAACACTTTTTTTTTAAGATTTCTTTTATTTATTTATGTATACAAGAGCTGAGGTACAGGCCAGAGATGTGTGTGGGGAGGCTGAGAGGATTCACCAGAGACAGAGAGGAGCAGAACAGGAAGACTGACTGAAATCCACTGCTGAGGGGAGCAGCAGGGAGACAGGAGAGGTCTGCTGCGCCCTGGGGGTCACTCCCTGGCTGGGGAGCAAACTCGAGCTGCAGTGGCTGGGGGCAGCTTCACAGTGCTGACTTAATTTCTTGCACCACCAGGGAGGCCCAGTGCTTACATTTAAAAAACAGAGGTCTTTGAACCATAAGTTGAAAATTGTTAGCAGTTGTCATAATTATCTAGAAAATGCAGTAGGGGAAGCTGTTAGGTTCTAGCTGGAGGCCTGGAGGGTTTGCTCAGCCAGGCCAGGAAGTATTAGACTGTACTGAAGCCCCATGGTCATAGCAGAGGCTGACAGGAGGATTTAGAGAACCGGAAACCCCACTGACGAGTGTCCTTAGGCAGCGGCCATACCCCCAGTTACAGAAAGGGGCTCTGTGATCCTCCCGTATTGGTGGATGGGGTTGGGAGTGGGGTGGGGCTGGGTTTCCTGCCTCTTAGATAGCGGCAGCCCAAGTCCGCTGTTGAAAAAAGGGCCCCTAAGCCTTCCTCAAGAACACACCCCTGTTTCCATCTCTGCCTGAAGGAGTGATTTGCCTGTGGTAGGTAGAGCTCCATGGGGATCTTTATGGCTATAAGGGAAACCTGTGCTAACCCAAATAAACCAGGTTCTCCTAGAATAAAGTGGGAAGAATATTCTGGAATCAGTGAGAAAGAAAGAAAGAAAGAAAGAAAGTGAAATGGGCCTGAATTTTTTTCAGACATAGAGGCCTTTGTCATGTTAGGGTATTCCAATCTGACCTACTTCCCCTTTCAGTCATGCATTCGGAAGTTTCTGGAAGCCTGGTTTAATTCAGTCTTCATCGTAACTGTCCTTAGCGAGGGCGACAGCACCGAGGCGCCCTCAGCCTGGCTGCTCTTGCTCCTGTCTCTGAGGAGACAGTGGCAGATCCGCAGTGTGGGGTGGGGCTGCGAGTGGGGTGGCGCTGGGGCGTGGGTGACAATCTGGAGTGGGCTGAGGGTCTTTCACAGTAAAATGGGGCCCAGAGACTTGAAGGACCCAGGAAGCCGAAAGAGCGGGGGGCTCCTGTCCACAAGTCCTCAGGACCCGCTCTCCTTTTCCTTCTAGAAGGAGTGGAGACGCCTCTGCCTGACCCAGATGTCCTGAGCCCAGAGAAGTGCCTGCAGTCCCTGGCTGCCCTTCGCCACGCCAAGTGGTTCCAGGTCAGGGCCCAGGGCGGGGAGGGAGGGGCGCCGGCTGTCTGTTGGGCTGCAGCTTCGGCTTGCAGGCCCCAGACACAGAGGACACGTGGTGAGCCGCGCCCCTAGTCAGCGGCTTGGCCCAGTCTCCACTGAGTGGTAAGTGGTCGTGAGCGCTGGCTCGTGACCGCTCGACTCGAGTGGGTCCTGAGTGGCCAGTGCCCTGTGCTGGGAATTCCTGGTGTCCACCCAGTAGCTGGCATCAGGAGCTTAGAACTGTGACCAGCAAGAAGTAGGCTCTGTCCCCGTGGGCCATGCCCAAGGCTGGCTATTGTGGGCCTCGCTGCCAGGGTAGGAGCCCTGAACCCCAACCCTGTGCTTCCTCCCCCAAAGGCGAGAGCCAGCAGCCTGCAGCTATGCGTGATTGTCATCAGGCTCTTTCGGGACCTCTGCCGGCGTGTGCCCTCCTGGAGAGCCTTGCCAGGCTGGGTAAGGCTGACCCAGGTTGGGGGGGTAGGGGGGAGCCTAGGGTCCAGCCCCATTTCCTCTCTGTGCTCCAGGGCTTGGCTTCTCAGGAAGTGGCAGATGTCACCCGAGGCCTGGGGGTGGCAGGCCAGGGAAGGGTGTCTGGAGGTCCCTTGGGACCAGGAAGAGGCCTGCTGTAAGTGCAGCCTGATTTGCCTGCTGTTAGCTTAGCCCTGCAGCCTTGCAGACTGAGCCAGGCTGGCATGCAAATGCAGAGCACCAGGGAATCGCGCAGTGTTTGCCTAGACCTGTGGGCATCTGCGAGGAAGCCCTGGCAAGGGCAAGAGCAGCCTCTGTCTGAGCAAGTGGCACAGATCCACCTCCTCTGAAGGGGAGACCCTGTGGCTTTGATGCCCCTGATCAGGGGAACCCAGAATACCGTGGGAAGAGAGGAGAAGAGAAGATCCAGGGGCCCCCATGATGACCCCAAGTCCCCAAGCCACAGTACAAGCTGCTGGGTTGTACTGTGCCCCACCCTGACCTGTCTCTTTGTGGGGTCACACCTCATCCACGCACCCCTACGTGTGTGAGTCTGTGCTGCCCTCATGCACATAACCAACCGCCCAATGACATACGAGACAGTGTGAGGCGTTGAAGTCCTGTCAATGTAGATGAGCCCCATCCCACTGCAGACACAACCAGGCCCTGCCTGGGATGCCTCGACATCCCCATCCTCCCTCCTGGGGGAGGGAGCAGGCCTGAGGCGATCATCAGTCCTGATACCCTCGCTCTGTGGGCATGGGCCGAGGAGAATGAGCTTGGTTTTTTCAAGCCGCCTGCGCTAGTTTGTGTATTGTTGTCAATTGGATTTAGCCAGTGGAGAAACTGAGGCAGAGTACAGAAATTTACCTGTGAGCGAACCAGGGGTCACAAGGCCCTCCTGGCCACCCTCCACAGAAGAAGAAGAATGGTTGGAGTCAGGGAAAGAGCTGGGAGGTGCCCCCTGGGAACCCTCGGGCTGACACCCGCAGAACCACTTGACGGGAAGCCATGGTGTCCTCCCCTTTTTTGTTCCCGCCCTTTCCAGGCCCTGGAGCTGCTGGTGGAGAAGGTCCTGAGCAGTGCGACAGGGCCGCTGAGCCCCGGGGACGCCGTGAGACGGGTCCTGGAGTGTGTGGCCTCAGGGGCTCTCCTGACAGGTCAGCCCCCCTCACCAGCCAGCCCAGGACACCGGCAAGCAGTAGACACAGGGTCCTGACAGCCCCCAACGCAGGCGGCGCGAGCCAGACACAGGGGCAGTTTCACAGAGGAAAGTGAGCTGGAAGCTCAGGCCGGGAGGGCAGGGGCAGGGAGGCAGGTGGGAGCAGGTGAGCCGCCCGTCTCAGCTCACCATGCTCTGCCCGCATGCTCCCTTCTGGGGAGCCCCCCCCACCCCCCCCACCTCCCCACCCCCGTCCCTGGCGGGAATATTTCCAGAGCAAATGCCAGGAACTCAGTGGTGGGCTTTGTACAGGGATGAGCCATAGTGGCGCTTACAGTAGCAAGCAAGGCAGGGGCGGGCCTTCTGTGCTCAGGTGCTGGACACGGAGGTGCGAGCAGTAATCTCAGGGTGACCTATTAGTTGGGGGGAGGGTAACGCCCTGGGCTATGGGCTGAGCCTATGTGTAGCTACACGCCAACACACGTGCGTGCTCATCCAGCTCTGCTGGATGCGCGGGGCTGAGGGGCGGCCGGCAGAGACCCTGCAGAGCACACCTGTGCAGCCCAGGCACCTGGGCTCCAGTCAAAGCCAAGGTGTGTGTGCTCTGGCCCCGCGGTCCTGAGAGGGCCAGGGCCCGTCCTTGATCATGATGCTCTCTCCCGTGTCGCCCCTCCCCCCAAAGATGGGCCCGGGCTCCAGGATCCCTGCGAGAGAGGCCAGGTGGATGCCCTCGGGTCCATGACCCTCCAGGAGCGGGAGGACATCACGGCCAGTGCCCAGGTTAGGAGGGCCAACCCACCATCCGCGCCTCCTGGACCGGTGCCCACAGGCAGGGGCAGCCCCTGGCTCCCAGCTCAGTGCTCAGAGTCCCAGGAAGTGGTCTGGGTTCTCCTTCCCTCCCTGGCTGCCCCCAGAGACCCGTGTGGCCCTCGGGAGGGCGGCCGGTGGGTGCGAGGACAGCTTCTGGCTCAGGGTCAGCCTGACTCCGCCAGAGCTGCCCCCGTGAGGCACAGGTGGGGCTCACTGGCTGGGCCTGTCCTGGATCTCCGATGCCCAGCCCGCTGGGCCAACCCCACACAGGTATTCGTGAGACAGTCGTCCCCCCCACACACACTGGCCGTGAGTTAAGCTGTTCATGGTCAGAACTGGCAGATGTGGGATTTGGGGTCCCTGTGGGGAGGCAGGACACAGCTGATGTTCCCAGGGGCTTCCCAGCCAGGTCCTTGCCATCCGCTATCCCCACGGGATCCCCAAAATACTCATTATTGAGGGGGAGACTGGAGTTTGACATCGCAAGCCCCCGGGTGTGCGACGCCTGCCCAGGCTCAGGCGGGGGGTCCTGACAGCCCGCCGCCCCCAGCACGCCCTGCGCATGCTGGCGTTCCGGCAGATCCACAAGGTCCTGGGCATGGGCCCTCTGCGGCTGCCCCAAACCAGCTACGGGGCGCGCTTCCGGAAGCGGCCGCGGGAGACCGGGGAGCTGGAGGAGGACGAGGCCCCCAGGAAGGTGGATCAGCGGGCCCGAGGGCCTTGTGAGCGGCTGGCCTCCTGCGGACTGGGCGGGACGCCCCACTGAGCGGAGCGCACCCCCAGCCGGACAGTCCCGCTTTGCTTCGGAGTAAGAGTAATGTTCTGTGTGTTTCCTTACAAACACTTGTGCTTTAGATCATTAATCCGGTCACTGGGCAATGGGATTCGGGGGCTGGGGAGCACCCCTCACCCACACGTGGGCCTGCCCCAGAGGCAGGGTACAAGGTGCCCACGCCGACTTTAAAGTCCACGCTGGCTGACGTGGCTCTAAACTCCCTGCGGCCTCCCAGGATGTGGCTTTCTAAGCGCCTTCCTTGCACGCTCCATCCATGAGTGGACTTGACATCACGTGGGTCGAGCCCTCTGGGGGATGCTGGTCTGGAAGACTCAGGAACAGGTAGTGGGGAGCAGGGCTGGGTGCTGGGCGCTAGCTCTCGGGTGTGCCCAGACTGGGTCCGCTCCCCTCCTCAGCCTGCGAGGCTCCCCGGATCGGAGGTCTTGGGGCCTGAGCCGATCTCATGCCCTGTTCCATGTGGGGAGTGAGACTGGGCCAGGGGGTGCTGAGCATGAAGGCCGGCACTGCCCCTGCCCCCCAGAAACATCGTGGCCTGACACTGGTCACCCTGACCAGGAGACCCCCTCAGCCCTGTACCACTGTGTGCCTTCTCCAGAACAGAGGGGTTGCTCTCTAAAGTCCATCTGGGCCTGGGCTTGGCCTCTGACCTGGGTCCAGCTGGGTCTGAGTCAGGGGTCTCCAGGCCCAACCTAGTGGGACAGGGTGTGGGCGCCATGCCTGCTACTGGGCATGGGGGTCCCCGGCTCCCATCAGTCCTAGCCTCACTTTTCCTTGGCCTTCTGCCCAGGGACAGTGAAGTGTCCACGTTGGGTGGAAGCCTCCTTGACTTCATGCCTGGCCCTCTGGCCTCCATGTGGCTTTGCGCTGATGTCTTGTAGAGCCGCCTGGCACTTGGGGGCGGGGCAATAAAGGCACTTGCTCTTCTCTTGGCGTGGACGGCACAGCCTCTTGCTCAAGCCCTTGCGGTGCTCTCCCAGCGCGGGTGAGCGGCTGGCATTTCTCCTGAGGCGCTGACCTGAGTGGATAGGGAGGAAGCTCAGGGGGCTGGTGCTGCCCATGGGCCGTGACCCCCAGTTGGGGCACCCTCAGGCTGTCCCCACACTGTGTTCTTTGGGGGTGCAGAGAAGCCTGGTTCCTGCTGGGCCAGACCCGAGAGGCAAGAGCTTCATAGTTGCCACTGCAGACTGCTGCAAGAGCCCACCCTGGCCCGGCCCAGGCGCTGAGATCCAGCCCGTTAGTCGTGGGGCCTGCACAGGCTTCCTGGAAAGGGCGGCGAAGCCCAGTGCGAGGCTGCCCACCGAGTTTCCTGGAATCCTCACTGAGAACCTTGGAGGGTGGGGAGGGTCTTAGATGGAGTCCTGCTCACCAGCTCAGCTCCTGGCAGAGCTCCGAGCCTCGGGCAGCCGCAGCTGGGCTGCAGGGCTGGGAGGGAGTTGGGCGGGCGGGAAGGGCAGGCTGGGGCCACAGTGGAAAAGCTGTCCGCAGGCCCAGAGCGCAGGCTGGGTGAACGCAGGCCAGGACGGGGAGCAGGGCCCCTGCAGACCCTGGCACAAGGAGCCTCAGGCAAAACTCGGCCTGCTGCTAACAAACGTGTTACCTGCTCGGACAGGAAGCCAGAGAGGCAAGCCACCTTCTCTACCCTGGGAAATGGACCCCTCCTGACCTTACACCCCGACAGCGCTTCCCAGCCCCTCGCCCTCTGCAGCTCTGCCCCTGGCCCGCACCTCGCCACCTCACCACCTCAGCTGGCGGCACCCCGCGAGGTTCTCCCCAGGACGACCTACCCATCACTTTTGCGGTGCGTCTGCCCAGCCACCCCTCCCTTGGGAGAGAACGCCCATCCAACGGGGCCCCCCAAGAACCCGCCTGCCACCTCCTCCCTCAGACTCGCTCCAGAGTGCCAGTCTCCACTAGGTCTCAGCCAAACTGCTTCCTGCCCCAGGGGCTGGCACAGGCCGCCCCACATCTGAACAGCGCAGACCACCCCACCTTCCTCCTCCTGGGACCCTCAGCCCGGGCCTCCTTCCATGCATATTGTCTTTATACCACACATCACGTTAGAACCACTTGTCATCTGCCTTCACGAGAGACGGTACCTGCCTTAACTTTATGCACCACAGTTGGCCCCAGGATCTAGAACCAGTCGGGTACATGGCACTTAGGAAAAATGTCAGATGCTTCAGGCCACTGCCAGGAGAAGATTCTATGGTCCGGGCAGGAGGCCTTAGGGGAGTGGGACAGAGCGGGCGTCCGGGTGTACCTCGTCCCCTGCACCGGTCCGAAGCACGTAAACAGCAGAGGTGACAGGGCAGCACCTCCTCTGTGGAAAGTCCCGTGTTTCGCTGCTGGGTCCCACACGTGGTATTTACAGCCGACTTCCTCCCTGACACCTGGCAGAGGCCTCTCTCGCGAACTCACAACCCACTGTGCGCCTGTCCCATCCCTGGCTGCTGGGAAGATGGGTCTTTGCTTTGCTCCCAGGTCATTTAAACACGAACTTGAGAGAGTTAAATCTACCCTCCTCGTAGCTCAAAAAAACCGAGTTTAGAAGATGAGAGCACATTCAAGCAGTTTTAGAGATGTAGTTGGACCAGATGGAGGAGACGTCTGGGCGGCTGAGCTTGCTAAATGCCTGAAGAGCAGTGGCGTCTGATCTGCCCTCTCCAGCCCTCTTCTCACCAGGCAGCAGACCCCAGAACAGACAGGAGGCTGGCAGGTGTCTACCAGAGCAAAGTCCGAAGGTGGGGGCGGGGGGGTGAATCCCCAGACAGGGGCACAGGACCGAGGCTGCAGGATGCTGCCAGGGCGAGCCACGTTGCTAGGAGACGGTGCTTGTGGGAGGGATGACGCAGGGCCGTGTAGGCAGGACTGGAGCCAAACCTGGCAGGCAGATCAGGGAAGACGAAATCAGAAGGGCATATCTGTCAGCTTCATCTGCAGAGTCACTGGTAACACACAGAGATAGGTGCCAGTGCAAGCGTGGTGGCGCCCTGGCCTGAAGTAAGCCGCCCGCAGTGATGGCGGGGGCACCTTGAGGCCTCCGCTGAGGCCAGCCTCTTGTTTGGGCAAGTGTTCACTCCAACTTCTCCCCGGTCACCTGTTAGTGTGGCTTCCGGGGTGAGAGGGTGTTTCCGGCAAAGCAGATTAAGGACCTACACAGTGGACAAGTCGAGGGGACCCATGTTTCTCTTGCAGCTAGAAAAGGCAGCCTGGAGAGGAAGGGGAAGTGGCACTCTGTTGGTGCCTGCCTGAGCTCTGAAAAATAAAATGTGCTGGGAAACAGATATTCACACACTTTTCGCGGCAGCGTGTTTCCTTGTAACCAAATGGTGGAAGCAACCCAGTTTGTCGATGAATGAACACACACAGTGTGTCCGTCCACACTAGGGTAGTACTCAGCCCTTAAAAAGGAAGGACATTTTGACACAGCTGCAACATGGGTGGACCTTGAGGACATGATGGCCAGTGAACCAGGCCAGACACAAGGGACACACCCGGTGGTCCACTCACAGGAGGCCCCTGAGACAGCATGGTGCGTACCAGGCGCTGGGGGCGGGAGGGACACTGGTGTTTAATGGGGCCGAATTTCAGTTTGGGGCAGTGAGAACCTTCTGGAGCTGGAGGGTAGAAGTGGTTGTACCACAGCGTGAACGTGGTCAATGCCACTGAGCAGTGGACTTTAAAGTGGTAAGTTTTGTGTCTGTAGCACAGCAAAAGGCGTTACAATACTTTGGATTTTCCCTATTACAAACCACTTGGAATTTCAGAAAAGGGAGGAAGGGAAGTCAGGTCCCCCCCCAGGCACCAGGCCTCCCGCCCGTCTTCTCGCGAGCTGGCTGTTACGTCACCTTTGAGTCCTGCTGTTCTTCACCTGCCGTCACAACACCCCTGCTTTCTCTGGCGTTCTCGGCGTGCTTAGGTAGACTATCTAGTTTAATTCTTCTGGAGATAGTACAAGAAAGAGCTGTTTGAAATTGTGACAAAGTCCACATTCTAGGGAACTCACCAGTTTATTTAAGACCGGTGGTTTTAATATTTTCACAATATTATACAACCACCTATTGAATTCCAGAATTTTCCATTACCATGAAGGGAACCCAGTGCCCACTGGCCGTCATGCCCCATGCAGACCCCCGGTCCTTCATACTCAGGCACACGCGGCGCACTCCCTGGGGCTGCGCTGGTCGGGACACCTCTCGCCAGTGGCTGCATCCGCATGGCCTCGTGTGTCTGGCTTCTCTCCCTGAGCATCATGTGTTCCGGCACCTTCCACGTGGCAGCGAGTGTCAGAGCTGCCCCCTTTTCGTGGTCAAATACATTGATGGTCTGGTGCCTGGTGGCCTGATTGTGTTTCTCCATGATAGATGATTGTTTTCTTCCCACTTTTTGGCTACTATAAAGAAACACAATTGTTTTTGAAAAAAGATTTATTTGTTCATACAGAACTGGGGTACAGGCCAGAGGCTCGGGCGGCGAGAGGCTTCACCAGAGACAGAGTGGGGAGCCAGAACAGGCAGATCGACGAAGTACACTGCTGAGGGGAGCAGCGGGCGGGTCAGGAGAGGTCTGCTGCGCCATGTGGTCACCTCCGGGGCAGGCAGGGATCGAACTCATGCAGAAGTGGCTTTAACTTCTCAGTGCTGTGCTTTAACCCGCTGCGCCACCAGGGAGGGCCCAGAAACACAATTTTTAAGAACATAATATTCCACCAAAAGAACATGTCTTGGTTTTTTAACTGCTCCCCTGTTTTTGAACATTCAGGTCACTTTCATATTATAAATTAGATCTAAACAAACTGTTCCTGGAGCGTATGAAGGGGCTCTATCCCCTGTGTACTTAAAAATGATAAATTTTGTCTAAAATACAACACTGATGTTTCCACACCTGAACTGTATGACATGGAGTTTCTCAGTTGAAGGGCACGAACACTGAGGCATTTGAGGTGACGACGTGGGAGGCTGCCTGCTGGCATGGCTTTGCAGGTCCCTCTCCCTGTAAGGGAAAGAGCTCCCCACCCGCCCAAGTCAGGACTGCGCCTTCTCATTTTTGAAAGTACGTATCTGTACGTGGAACTACACAGGTTTCACTCTGCAATATCTTTCATATCATTCATTCAATGTGTGTTATCAGAAACCTATTTTGTGCTGTAGACTGCCCTTCGTGAGGCTTCCTGAAGTCTACCAGTGGGAATGTTGAGATTTATGTATTTAGTAATCAATCAGCAAACATTCACCACTTCCCTTGAAATGAACCAGAAGTCACCATTGTATGCAGAATTCTACTTTCAGGTTGGCCCTTTAACATATTGGCCATGTGGGGTGTAGGGAAACCTCATCAATATTCACTAATCCTCTATAAAATTGGCGTAAACCTGGCAGCATCAAATTTGCAGAGGACTGGGGAAAAATGCACATTTTAATATTTCACTGCACAGAGAGTTTCAGCCTTAGCGACATGGGTGTGGTGGAGTTCAAGGGTGAAGATAAAAACTGGCAACTAAAACACAAGCTTCCCCAAACACTGGTGTGAGGCTAGGAGAAAAAAAATCTCAGATACTGCCATCTGGGCCCCACCCCTTACCATGGCCACCTCCCTATAGTCAGCCCAGAGTAAAGCCAACCCCCGGCAAGGGGCTTCTGTTAGCTCTATAGAACTGTGCTCATAGTTGTTGGCCAATAAAGAATCCAACCCCCCCAAAAGAGGTGAGGGGGGATGATGACGTGGAAGGAAGATACAAAAACAAAACACAAGGAAGCCATGCTAGAAAAACTCTTACGCATATTCTTCTCGGAGAGCAAATAGAAGACACATTATATGGGGAACAAGTTCAGGTTTAGAAGGAACATTCAAAGGACCAGAAAGAGTCCTTGGAAATTAAAAACGTGGTAGTCAAAATTAAAAGGTCAATAGAAGGGTTGGAAGAA